CCTCGGCTGGGAGCTCGGCCTCCGTGATCAGGTCCGTGATGTCCCGACCGCGAGGGGGCGGCAGAGCACGTCCCAGCGTCCTGCTCGGCCAGGGCGGCTCGTGGCCGTGGACGGTGGTGGTCTGATGAGAGGTGGGGCGAGGGGGCGGGGATCTCTCTGCACCACTGTGCATGTGAAGCAGTATTTTTATCCATCTGAGTCTCAGCCAGCTTTTGGTGTACGAACTTTCCCACGAACAGATTTATTACTGGTTTGTGCCCAATTTTGTTGCTGCGGGAGAGCAGCTGCCCGTGTCCCGCCGAGGACTCGGTCATTGAAACACAACAGAGGCCACGCGGCACAGACGACGCGTGCACGCACCTTCGCGGCCTCTGGTTTCCGGGAAGAAGCTAGTTACAGTAGCTAACTGTGGTGGATGGCCACTGGGCAGTGGACCCCCCCGCCGGACACCGTTGGATACCGCTTAACCTGGGATCGTTGGCACGGAGGTTCTCGTGCAGGGGCTTGACTCAAAGCCAGAGGGTCTGGATTTGCGTTTCAGCTGCTTTCCTTCCCTGGGCTCAGTTTTTGGAACGGGAAAGGACTGCCCACCCACCAGCGGACTTTTTGGGAGCATCAGGTGAAATGCCCCCGATGAAGATAGCCAGGGAGCCACTTTGCCTCCAGGAACGTAGAAGCGTGGCGGGGGCCTCCAGAAGCTGGGCTCTAGAAACCCCTGGCCCTTCTCTCCCCGGCGCGGCGTCCTCCTGAAGAATAAAGCCCACGGACTTGAAGGTCCGCGCCAGGCTTCACTGCAGCACGTCAGCGCAGCGGAGTTCTGGAAACAAGCCTGGTGCCGAGGACTCCACGTGGACTGGGAACGCGTGGTCTGTGGACACAGTGGACAGGGTGCGGACAGGATGAGGTCTTGCTCCTTGTGACGGCGTAAGTGGAACTGGAGAGGACGAGGCTGAGCAAAGTAAGTCAGAAGGAGACAGGAGAGTGCTGATGGTTTCTTACATGTGGGTATAAAGAGTCAAAACAAAGGAACAGAGAAAAAGAAAACAAAGCCAACCCCGAGCGCCTGGAATCTAACTGTGCACTCTGGGACAGGACTGCGGGTCAGTGAAGTGGCTGGGAGAACTGAGGCGGTGGGGTGGGGAGGAGTGGGCGGGCTGTGTCCCGGGCTGGATGGGGGGGGGGTGTAGTAACAAGCCGCTGGAGCGGGGTGAGCCCATATGCCTAAATCATCACTGGGTTGTCAGTCGGTGTTACGTCAGCAAAAGATAGCACAGGAAAATAGTTGCTGGATCGTCTTTCACAACTGGAACCATTTCTTTCCCGCTCCCTTCTCACCTCTTCCTCCCGCCTTTAAATTTATTATTTTTAGGACACTACTTGATCCATCTCGTCACCCTTTTCTGCCTGTCGTTCTAGCTCTTTCCAGAGTACCTTTTAATTGGCACCTCACAGAGGCAGGGTCTTTTTCAGCCTAGATTTTCCAGTGTACTATCTTAAAAAATGCCGTGCCTCCGCCCCGCCCATTTGTCCTATGAGGACTTTCCCTGCCATGTTCTTCTGCGACTGAGTTTGTGCACCAGCACGCAGGCTGTGTTTTGCCCCTGGGTGGGCCTGGAGCCAGCAGGGGCGCCGGCAGCCCGAGCTCACAGGTACCGAGGCCGCAGAGTGGGTGGGAGGCAGCTGCACTGGCCGGTGCCTGTGCTCACGCGCTTCCTGTAGCAGGGAGACGGCTTTGCTTTAGGATCTGTGTGTGTGTTGTTGCCGTTGCCATGGTAACATCGCTTTACAACCCTGTGTGTGACTTAAGGGTAAAAGGACACAGCTTCAACTATCTGCTGCCACACCCACGGCCAAGACACCCACCGTCCCTGGGCCCCTCCCCCTAACTCTCCACCCCTGACCTTCCCCTTCCAGTAGCCTCGGATTTGTGGTCAGATTATGGGATCTGTAGAAACTAACCTTGCAAGGATGTCTGTGGCCCCAGTGAAACCCTCCGCCTTGCCGGCACACCCTAGGTGATAGAGTGGAGGCGGTAAGGCAGCGCGTACCTTGATGGAGCTTGGAGGGGGAGAGTCGTTAGTCATTACAGACCACCGACCTGACCCATAGTGATAAGCTCCACAAAGTAATTGCGTTAGAAAGCCACATACAGGGCCCTCCCCGGGGGCGCAGCAGGTAAGGACCCAGCACTGCAAGCTGGCTGCGGCCGCTTCCGTGCGGGTTCCATCACTTCCATCACAGTCCCGAGGCCTCTCCTGACCCTCCCGCTGCTCCCCTAGGTATATTTCAGTCCAGCTGCCTGCTCTGCTCCCCACTCTGTCTCTGGTGAAGCCTCTCACCGCCCCTGCACCTCTGGCCTGTACCCCAGTTCTGTATGCATGGATAAATAGATCTTTAAAAAAAGCCACATGCCCGGGCACCCTCCGCTCTGGAAGTGGGTCTCTTGCTCGCCCGTGGTGGTGCAGGTATCTCAATAAACGTGCCCGGGGCCAGCCAGCACCCTGCCCGCTTGAGTCTGTTGCTTTCTTCACTGATGCCCGGTGCTGAGCGAAAGGGTGGCTGTGGCTCCGTGTCTTGCCCCTGGGTTCTCAGGGTCACACCTGAAAGGGGACGCGCCGTGAGGAGCCGGTGAGGCGTGGGAGGGGTCTGCGTGTCGCCCTGCCGTGCCTGGGTCTCCTGTGACGTGCGGGGGGGCCTCACGGTGACCGACTGCGCACAGTGTCCAGGGAGAGGGCAGCACCTCGCTGTGCCCACCTCACTGCCTTTGCAGTTGATCCCGAATTTATTCAACAACTGTTTTCTTCTCCTTGTGAAGTCATAACGTGCATTGTTTCAAGTCCATTTTTTAATTTTTCACTTGCAATCTGACTTGTACTCCGTCTCAGCGGTGAGGAGTCAGTCTAGATTCTGTAATGGCTTTGCCAGTGCACCAAGGGGTGCAGGGGGCCTTGACCAGCAAGGTGAGGGAGCAGAGCCCCAGGGACAGCGCAAAGAAGGACGCAGACACGGAGACGCGTGCGAGAGCTTTATTCTTACAGCAGTCATATATCTATACTTGAGGGCGGCCCAGAAGGTAAGGGAGGAGGGGGGTGGTCTGATGGTCTAATGTCTTAAAAGCCAATGGGGTTGAGGGGAGGGATCCGTCGTCATCGCAAGTCATCGCAAGGAAGTCGAAACTTGCTAAGCGCGGAGGGACAGGGAGTGGGGGAAGGGATTCGGGTGTGCTGTTTTCTCAACCGGGATGTTTACCCTAAGTTCGATCAAGTGTTGTTTTGTGCATAGGAGGCAAGGTCCTGGTCTCGGTCCCCACAAAGGGGGTTTCTTTTGTGGGCTGGGTGGAAGAATTAAGAATTTGGGTAGTGACAAAAATGAGTTTAAAAAAAAAGTGTTCTTCTACATTTCCCCCCAGATGTTGAGATAACGTGGGTGTCCAGCGTTGTGTCTCAGATGCAGGGTCTCCCCTGGGTGCCACCACGCCAGGCCACCCCCGCCACACCTTCACCTCCCACCAGAGCCCACATCTGAGGTCTTTTGGGAACATGAAATTCGATTGATTTTTCCTAGGGTTCCTTACACTCCACGGGGGTCACTGGGTCTGGGGCCAGGCCCGAGTGCCCTGACGCACCGGCAGCCTCGCCTCTGGCTTGCGGGGGGCTCTCTGTCCAGGATTTATTTTGCTCAGAAACCCCCGCGCAGGGAACTGCTGTTTGGCCCGTTCATTGGGCTGTTGGGCTTTCCCGAGGCAGCGCTGGCGCGATGCTGGTGAGGCTGGTGGCCTCTGCTGGGTGTAGTGCTCGAACGCAGCTTTGCAGAGTGCCTCACGTTCACGATCTCATTTCTAGTCGATGGAGCTGTGAGACTTAGAAGCACAGAGATTATGACCGTGCTGCAGTCTGGACGAGAGGACCCTGGACCCCAGATGTCCCCCGTGAGTTGGTGACGGCCTGAGGGGACGTGTCGGGCCATACCCGCACTGACTCTGTGAGGACAAGCGCAGGCCTGTCCAGCGCTTCCTGGCCTGTCCCACCCCAGGCTGACCAGTGTTGAATGTGTTGTCTGGCATGCCCAGCAGGGTGGCTTTGGGCCCCAGAGGTCCTGGGCTGTATTGTCGACGATTGTCCGTCACCGGTCCCTGTCCATCGCCAGCCACCGTTACGGACGGTTCCCTGACTGTTTGCTAGAGACCCTCCTCTAGTGCCCCCTGCCGCCGCCATGTTACTGAAGGGTCACCCCCACGGGTGCCCTCTGGCGTCCTGTGGCCAGGCCCAGCCTCACACCCAGTACTTCGGGAGGAGGTAGCCTCCGGTCTGCCGGGCCGGGCCGCGGCTGTCCTGCGGTGGCCCTGCTTCTGCCTGGCTTTGCAGGGAGCTGTGACGTTTGGGTTGAAAGAGAACGGCAGGTGCCCCAGGGCCGAGTGGCCTCAGGAGACCAGGGAGAGGTTGCCCCGAAGACACTGAATGCTGCTGGTGAGGTGGCTGGGCAGGCACAGACGCCAGGCTGCGGCTGGACCCTTTTTCCTGGCAGCCCCCTGAAGAGCATGGAGGCCTTTGGGGTGTCTGGAACAGGGGAGCGAAGGAAGCTGCCTGCTTCATGGCCCCCCTCTGCTCACAGGGCCGGCGGGACCTGCAGCCGTGGCTCAGGAATGGCCACGGCCTGTCCCGGTGGCTGCAGGTGCCACCCTCCCAGGCTAGGATGGGCCACGTGTGGCCGCTGCTGGCCTAGGCTGCGGTGGGGGCCGGCGCCGAGCCCCCGGCCCGGTTGGAGGTGCTGTTGGAGGCCATGCAAGCCCGAGCTCCCGGGTGAGGGACCTGACCCTGGCCAAGGCCGCCAGGCCCCGCGCGGCACGGTCTCCTGCACAGACTACCCAGGCACGTTCCTGCTGGCACCGGCTTTCAAACTCTAGTTCCAGACTCAGTGACAACCACCCTGGGACTATGTGAACGAACTTTCTTCTGGCTTTGTTTGCTTTGAATATAATTGTCCTTTCCTTGTTGTTCCAGGACACTAAATTATGGATAATAATGGAATATCTCGGCGGAGGCTCCGCGCTGGACCTGGTAGGTGCTACGACCTCCCCTGCACCGGGCCCTTCTCAGCCGCTCTTGGTTTTAAAGACGATTCTGTGCTTGTTCATTTCTTTTTCCCTCTTAAGTTGCATGCGAAGGGGCCTACCTCTCCCTTGTAGTAGGTGTTCTGCTTGCTGGAGTGCCGAGAGCACCTCTGTTCCATGCAGCCCGGAGAGTCCTCGCCGTCTTTCCAGGGGCTCCGGCCTGCTCTCCTGAGCCGGCTCTGTTGGGCTGCTGTCCTGGCGTCCTTTCTGTCTCCCATGGTCACTCAGCTTCCAGAGTGTCTCTACAGTATATCCACCTACAGTCAGAATTTTTAAGCTTCAAGTTTTGATGGGGGGCTCCCAGGGTCGGATGGGGTGTGAGTCCAGCAGGGGGCAGCCTCACCGGGGGAACCAGGCTGGGGTGGCCTCGCTCCAAGTGGGAGGAGATTTCCCAGGTGGTGCGGGGCGGGGGGGTGGTGTCCCTGCTGGTGCAGACTTGTCAGGGTGCAGGGCCAGCTCTTTCACTGCCCTGGGAGCCGGAGCGGGAAGAGGCCGACAGCCACGAGCTGGCCACTGGCTTTCTCCCAGTGCTGGAAGCCGTTGGGGGCTTCTGGAGGGCCGGCCACTGAGTCTGTGCCTGTCTCGAAAAGGCTGTGCGCCCACTTTAAAAAGTGGCATTGTGTCAGGCTGTAAAAGCCATGGGTCAGAGTGGTATGCAAAAAGGAAATACCCAGGGGAAAAAATGTAACGTGGCCCAAACCATTTTATCAGACAGAAACAGCAGCGAGACCGCGGCCACGCTCTGACTCGCGGCGCTTCCTTCCCATAAGTGTGCACTTACACAAACAGATTCAATTTTTTTTTTCCCTTTTGGGAAATACCGCAGGAATGTAGAAAATGGTCTCATTTTGTGAAATTAGATTTACTATTACCCTAAGTGAATTTCATTTGTGGCATAAAGTTATTTGCGGGAGCCGTCTTCTCAGGCCGTGAGTCCCCGAGCCGCGGCTCTGAGCGCCTGAGTTTGCTCGTTCTGAATGCCGCAGCGATTCAGTTTGTTTGGTGCTAGCAGTCTGAGGGGCTTTGGATTTTTAGAACTTGCAGTTGGAAAGAAGTTTCAAACTCTCCACTTCGAAAACACAAAACAGCCACTCAGCCATTGCCAGCAAGCCGGCTCCACACAAGAGCTCCTGGACGGGAAGCAGCCGGCCCTGCCGCCGAGGAGAAGCCCCGCGGTGAGGCCTGGAGCAGCCGGAGAAGGGGTCCGGAGGGCTCGCTGGACTCCGGACCCCTTCTCCGGCTGCTGCGAAGCCTTAACCTCCCCTTGCCCACACTGCTGGCTTGCCCCAGCCGCCCAGGAAAGCAGGCTTAAATAATGGGGCCCAAGTATTTATTCTTTCGAATGTTAGAAGCCATTAAGCTGATTTTGAGTGTCTGTTACATGTTTACGAATGACTTTAAAGATCAAGGCCCTGTCACATGAAAATTGGATACCATGTAGCCGAATAACTGGGCTGGGGCATTTCCCCGGGAGAGTCTACCTGGCTTTTATGGACTGTCTCCCGAAAGGCTGAAATTCACTGTAGGCGTAGTCAGTAGGTTCGCATGTGACTTTGAGGACCCCCCACGTGGGTGGGCTGGGGAGGGGAAAGGAAGAGGCATCGGGGAGACCCTTCGCAGACCCCACCATTCTCACTGCTTCCCTTTGTTCTCTCAGACTCCTCTCTCTCTCCACACACTCAGTAATCATCTTCATCACCCAGAGCCGCTGTCACGGATCCCACAGGCCGGGTGACTTAGCCATATTTATTCTCACGGCTCTGGGAGCTGGGGAGCCCACGGTCAGGTTGCTGGCAGAGCCGGTGTCTGGTGAGGTCCTGGCTTGGAGGTGGCCTGTTTCCTTGTGTGAGGCAGGGGCGGCCCGGCACCCTCCAGCGTCTGCTCGCCTGCATGCTCCAGCGCTCGCTCGGTGGCTTCCCGAAGGCAGGCGCCGCCTCCATATACCATCCCCTTGAGTGTCAGGTTTCCTGCCCGTGAAAATGCCAACCAGCTATGCCGACCAGCTAGGACCAGCTGTTGGGCCCACATAAAGGGCACTTCCTGAGCGTCCGTCTTCTCGGCCATAGCTCTCTCCCCTCATCACAGCACCCGGGTCTTACACAGCCGCACCACCGAGCTGGTGCCGTTTCACCCTCCGCTGGGTCACGTCTCTCTGACGAAGGCTGTGAGAGCCCTCCCCTGCGCCTGATGCCACCATGGATGGGAGGGAAGGTGACCGCTCCCCTCACCTGGCACTGAGCTCGGGGGCGGTGGGCTCCAGGCCGGGTGAGGAGGAGGGCGTGTCCTGGGATAAGGACCTACACCCAGCCGGAATTCTCTTTACATGAAAATGAATCCGGGGTCCCATGGAAACCAGACAGAGGAGGGACACAACGGGAAAGCTTTATTCCTCCAATTTTGGGATTGGAGCCTGGAGCCTGGAGCCTGGAGCCTGGAGCCTGAGCTCTGTGATAAGACTGTGAAGACTGGACCCTGCGGGGACAGAGGCCGGCCTCCCTGCCCGCCGCTCCTCCCCCAGGTGGCGAGGAGAGTGCGTCTTCCTCATTGTGAGCATTAAGGTTTCTAGCCCACACACTGGAGTAGGCGTGGAAGGAGGCAGGTGCACCTACCAAGACGGGCGATGTCCTTTAGCGCTAGTCACTCTGCTCCTTGAAAATAAGGCTGTTATTCCGGTGACTGGGAAAGCTGGCTTCGGGGGGCCTGAGTCTGAGGTAGGGTTGGGGCTGTACCTCGGTCAGAATTGGGGGTGATTCCTGGCAAGTGGGTTGACCAGGCGGTTGGGCTTCTGTGTGCCGCACCGTGGGCAGGCCCGCTGAGCCCCGAGTCCTGGGTGTGGGGGCAGACAGGACAGCGAGTGAGGGGCACCCCTGGCTCCCACCCACTGGGTCCCTTGTGCACTTTCCTGTAGAAGGGGGAGGAGCCTTGCCCGCAGGCAGTGAGGAGGGGTCTGGGCTGTGCCCCCTGGGCCCCCAAACAGCTGTTTTGTTCTGCCACCCTCATCTAGCGAGCCCAGCACCCCAAGCAGCCCCTCTCTGTCTAAGGGTCACACAAGGTGGGGGGACTCTCCCCTGGGGTGCCTGTGTTTCATCCCCCTGGCTTAAAGCACACTCATCTTTTTGAACTGTCCTCAGTGGACGTCTGGGGGTCCGGGGTCTGCCTTGCCGACGAAGTGTGTGAGTTGGGGCTGTGGTCTCTCACTGTCGGTCTGGAAACTGGGGTTGTCATTCAGGTGAAAAACCAATGTATCGGCGTTTCACGCCGCACCCCAGGGCTCCCTCACGAGTCCTTAGGAGCTCTGGGTGGTTTCTGCTGAAGTTGTTTATGTGATTATTACTTGTGGTGGATTCCCTGTCCTGCAAGCCAGAATGGGCTTGAGTTGAGCTCCAGAGCCTCATTCTTTTTAAGTGGGATCGGTGTTCTTGACGTTTCTCCTTACCACTTTGTACGATTAAGCATAGTAGGAAGTCAGGGGCCCTTGCTGTGTGTTTCTCAGAATCAGAGTCTGCAGAGGCAGTTAGTGCCTCACTGGGGATGAGACGACGCTAGCGTCTTTATTATGGAACACCAGCGCTCTGTGCTCCGTAACCAGAATGCTTTGCGCCTCAGAGATGGTGCTCCCCAGCCTCCAGAATCCAGGTTCCTGCCGGAGTGGCCTCGGGCAGCTCTTGGGCCCCAGCCTCTCACTTTGGCTACTTGCAACTTCGGGTACGCCGTAAGCACACGCGTGCCCCATGGGACCTGGCCGTCCTGGCATGCCCAGGCTGGCGCTGGGCCTTCTGGGCTTTGGTTTTCCTGCCTGCACCCCCTGGCCAGCTGCAGACTTCTGGGCCCCCCAGAGACCCTTAGCCAGCTTGGCTCTACCCTGCAAAACCATTTCCCCCACCTGGTGCTTTGTTTTTTATTCGTTGAAGGGCCCTTTCAGTAGGTCTCCGCTGTTCTGGCAAAATGTCTACTTTGGAATGAACTAAATTTTAGATTTTAATTGCTCTTGTCCATTTGACATCACTATCGACTGTTTCATCCGCTCCACTTTCTTGAACATGTTTTAGTAACGCCGGCATTTTCTTTTCTTCTCGTTAGCTAGAACCTGGCCCCTTAGATGAAACGCAGATTGCGACTATCTTAAGAGAGATACTGAAAGGACTGGATTATTTGCATTCAGAGAAGAAAATTCACAGAGATATCAAAGGTGAGAGGCATCTTGTCTTCCTCCTCGGAAAGACCCGCAGCGGGGAGCAATGTGCTGAGGAGGGGCAAAAGAGCCCCAGCTCTTGGGGAGATGCAGGCATTTGTGGGGTACCTCCGCAGGCCTGGGTGTGTGCTGTCTGTGGGCGCACGGGCAGCACAGCTGAGCCCTGGTTCTGTTTGCAGCTGCCAACGTCCTGCTCTCCGAGCACGGAGAGGTGAAGCTGGCCGACTTCGGGGTGGCGGGCCAGCTGACGGATACCCAGATCAAAAGAAACACCTTTGTGGGCACCCCTTTCTGGATGGCGCCCGAAGTCATCAAGCAGTCGGCCTATGACTCCAAGGTAAGGGCTGCCGCTCGTGCGTGGGGGGTGGGGCGGGGTGTGGGTGGGCACCCTGCAGGGCCCCTGCGCTGGCGCCCGCGTAGGTCACGGGGTGGGGGAGGCCTGACTTCGGTTGAAGCGGCTTCCTTGGTTCGTCTAGCCTTTCGCCCCCCCGGGTCACAGCTGTGGGGTCTCCGGCGCGGACAGTGTGTGTTTGGTGGTGCTGGGCCCCCGGGGAGGCGGAGGAGCGGAGTGGGAAGGGTGTGGAGTGGGGCAGGCAGCGGCCTGGGGCCCAGGGCTGTGGGTACCCCTGCGGAGACCGCGGAGGGGCCACGTTTAAGGGACGGGTGGAGAAGAACCCCACAAGGGAAGCGGAGAGCCCACAGAAACCTAACGCAGTCTGCCGATGACGCGCCTCGTGGCCGCGGTCCTTCCCAGCAGGCGGGCTCGCGGGCTCTGGGCCGACACAGCGCCGTCTGCATTGTGTTATCTCTGCGGTTTCGCCGGTGATCTTCCACCCCCCGATTTCTTCTTTCCCCCCCACCACGACCTCTTGCACCCCTGCAACCCTCGCCCCTCCCCCGTAGCGTCGGGAACCGTTAGTTTGTGCGTGATTTTCTTTCTTTTTACATAGATTTCTGTATGCGTAGTCTGTGTAGGCGGCAAGGGGGCTCCCCGGAGACGGAGCGGGTGGGGAGCAGAACAGTCAGGTCCACGGAAACACCGCCGAGGGAGCGGCGGGAGACAGGGAGGTCCGCTGCGCCTGCGGGTCGCTCCCTGGCCGGGGATCGAACTCGCGCTGCAGGGGCTGCCGAGGGCGTCTCAGTGCTGAGCCCTGACCCCTTGTGCCCCGGGGCGGCCCGAGTGTGCGTGGTTTTAACAGGTCGTGTTGTCATCTTGTCCGTGGGGCCGTCTGGGGTTTGTCCGCCCCTGTGGTTTTCTTTACTGCACACTGTCGCCCTGCCGCCCCTCCCTTCCTGCCGACGGCCGTGGCTCGTCCTCTCCGACGGCCACCGTGTGGGTGCAGCGCCTCGCCCTGGCCCCGCCTCCCAGTGGGTGCTGAGGTCTGTCACTCAGCGCCGCCGCACACGCCTGGGACATAGAGCGATTTGAGTTGATGGACTCAGGTTCTTCAGCTAAAGAAAGCCCCAGAGTGGGTGCACAGTGTTGCCATTAGTTTTTTGGTTTTTTTTTTTTTTTTTTTTTTTTATTAGATTGGAAGGGAAAAAAAATAATGTTTCAAAATTTTCTTTTTTTTTTAATATTTCTTTATGAGGATTTTAATCTCAAAACAAAAAAAAATCAGTCTTTAACAAGCTTTAAATTTTATGAGGAGTGAACTTATTTTTTTTTTTTTT